ACGTTACCAACCAAAAAAGATTTCATATTACACGAGGATACATGCTATGCCAACAATATAAAGTGTGAATGTAAGAAAATAAACGTTGTGAATAACTTCAAATATCTGGGTATAGAAATGTGCTCAAATATGAAATGGCATGATCAAATAAATTCATTAACACAGAAAACCAGAAAAATGATATATATAATGAGAGAATTTCGAGATATCCTAAATAAGAAAGAATTAAGATTAATTTACTTGGCACTGATTGAACCAATAATATCTTATGGAATTATAGGCTGGGGAGGATCATATGAGAACGCTCTCTCTAGATTACAACTACTACTCAAAACACACTAATTAAGATCGCCTTAAGTAAAGACAAAACTTACAATACAGAACAACTTTACGAAGACTTTAATGTTCTAGATATCAAAAAAATATATTTTAATTCAGCAGTCCTTTTCTTAAAAAAACATGATGTCCCATTACCCCTGAGTCATAATGTTGTTACCAGGTTCGCTAAAAATAATAATTATACAATGCAATGGCCTCATAAAACGGGCACAAGAAAACAATATAAATTCGTCGGTACAAAAATCCTAAACTTAATACCAAAACACTTCCATGCATTAACTCTGCTTAGGTTTAAGATAGACTTTAAGAAATGGCTTCTTTATGAATTCAACAATAACCTATTATTATAATTAATAACATACCTTTTTTTAACTATTTGTTAAATTTATATTATTTATCAATTTTTCTATGTTCTATTTTTTTGTTTTTATACTCTAATTATAAGAAATCTACTACAGGTTTATATATCATGATTTTTTTTTTTTATTTACGTTTAATTTGTAATGTTTCACTAAGATAGTAGACACATATTTTTACTTAATATTATATAATTAATAATTTTAAACAATACAACATGTAACTTATACACTAGAAATTAATTAAACTCATGTACACATAATAACTCCTGGGCCTCCACACGAGAATACTCAGTGAGGCCCAGTATTCTTATCTTGAGAAATAAATTAATAATAATAATAATAATAATAATATTGTATTTTTCATAAAATTGAAAATTACTCGTAGTAACATAAAAAAAATGTTCAATAGAAAATTAACAAGGGGGCGTGCCCCTGTGCCCCTCCCCTGAATCCACCACTGTTTAAGACTGCAAATGCAAAGCGAAACAAACACTAAGAAATAAAAATATAGGATCCAGATAATACAAATACATCTTAGGTTAGGTATAATATATTTTGTAACGTATGTCATCATTAATTAATTGTACATATTATTGTAAATAGGAATTTATACTTCTTATTCTTATTTATAATATGTAATTTATTAAATACCAAGTTCAAAATAATTACATTTTAATTTATGGCATTCAATAAAATATACATGTATAATGAATTCAAATTTCGGGAGTGGACTTGCAAATTCTGGCTCGGAAAAATACTTTGACAAATCGTAGGGGTTGGAATTTTGACTTGCAAATTTCGGGAGTTGACTTGCAAATTCTTGCTAATTATAACGAGTGATTTGACACCAGTTTCGAAAGTTTCTGACAACAAGTCAGGGCTGCGTGAAGTTGGCCCTTCCTTGGTTCCACCCCTTATAATTCCTTTGTTTTTGACTTGCAAATTTCGGGAGTGGACTTGCATATTCTTGCTCATTACTTTCAAAATAATGGCACTGTGCAAAACTTTTTTTGAAAAAGTGTAAGGGCTAACTTCACATCGGTTTATAAGTAGGTACTCGTAATTCGTATTATATTATCAGACAAGGTTTGAGTAACCTCTACCCGCATTTCCTGTTAAATAATCTTAAATCGGTAAAATCGACGTCCGATGATATCGTTCGACGTTCAGTACGAGTTTTGTCGTCGTTAACACCGTTTTATTACTCAAGTTAATTTTTTTTGATAATCTCATTTTTTGGAAATAATTAGGGAATAGGTGTATGTGCATCAGTGATTTTTAATAGAGCCCTACTTTTTTTATTTTTTTTGTCCACTTGATAAGTATTAATAATATCAGTATAGGAAATTTCTTTGTCATCTTTTTTAAAAACACTACCTATTAAATTGTTCCTGATGCTCTTAACAAGATGTGGGACATCAAAAATGGCAAATATTTTATTTTCATCTATAAAAAAAATAAGGCTTATCTTCACTTACATTCAATAATTTAAGAGCACTTTGGTTGTTCGTTCCTTGATCACAGACTGTTAATTTTGGGCAAATTTTGGACACATTTTACATCAATTAGTTCTTTTATAACATCAACAATTAATGTTTTCAACGTTTTAGATAGGAAAATAAGCAACAGGAAATTTCCAAGATGAATATATGCCTCTAACCATAAAAACAAGTGCTGTATTGGCAGTTTTATTGTCTCTTCCAATTTTACCAATATCCTCAAAACCTTCTACAAAGTCGTATCGCTTAGAATATTCCAAAAACTCTTTGATGGAAATGTCATCAAATAAAACACTACATGCCTTTTCTTTGTAGCTTTTAGCTTCAATTTTTTTTTTTTATATGTTCTAAAAATGACCTGTTAAAGGCTGATAAAAATTTAGATTCTCCAATATAATTACGGATTGTGGAAGGAGCTGGTAAATTTACTTTTTGAAGCCTTAAAAATGTATATGCGGCTGGCGATTTATACAATAAAGAAAGAGCAAAGTTCTTTTCATCTTCTGTCCATGGGCGTTTTTTACTTTTCAGTTGCATTGTGACTAGTGCTTTTGAGTTTTTAGATGAAAATTTATGTGAGTGTAGTATATTATGTAATGTGTTTCTTGTTTTTAATGTAACTATTTTTTTTTTCATTTTTGAAATAATGGTATGCAACTTTCTAGTGCTATTTATCAATTTTGTTTTTAATTTTTTTTTTTTTATTGGTGAATCTAAATCACCTTGAAGGTTACGTTTTCTAATAGAAGTATGGCTTGGCATTTCAATTAAATTGTTAATTCTACATCTTTGTGTTGGTGTAAAAATATTTAATGCTGGACTTGAAAATAGTATTTCACATTCTGAATTATTCTTTATATTGACATACGTTTTAGTTGGAGTCAACATGAAATCAGAGGGTTTTATATCATTTCCTAAAGAAAAATAATTAATGTGAGGAATTTTTTTTTTGTATTTTAATTATTTTTGTTTTCAAACAGAATATTATATTATTTTATGTTAACACTACCTATATTATACATATATTGTAATTTATTGTTTTATTAATTTTACTCAAAACCTTTTAAATATAATAATATATATTTACCAATTAACCCACTTGTTGAAATTAAACGGTACAGAAAGTGGTTTTAATTTTTTTTTTCAGAATTCATGAATGAATAATGAAGTCATGACTAAATAAACAGGCATGATCACCAAAAAACCTATTTTTCCTATCACTGCCCATTTTCCCCAGACTTGGCAGAAACAGTAAAATTCCTATGTAATTGTAGTGGGAATAAAATTTTTTCTATGAGTTTTCTATGATATTAGTTTTTCTTCCAAGTCTGGGGAAGTATAAAATATTCGTGAAATAATCTAGTGATCATGCCTGTTTATTTAGTCATGAATGAAGTAACGATTAACGACTACCAGGCATCAGTGTTAGCCCCTTAGCCGACAGCGCTCCTAACGACTGCCAGCGGTTATAGAATGTCGACAGCGCTCCGTAGTGTCTGCCAGAAATTAATTGTCAACGAATATTCCTATGGCATTGCTTATCTGTGTATTATATAATCAATGCCCGTACCTATCATAATGAATTCTCATCTAACGTCAATAAATTGTTTTTTGTTTGGTCAAAAAGTATGTTAATTATAACATTATGTATTATATAATACAAGGTTCTTCATAATTTGTTATAATATCAGTTAAAAATATTAAAGATAGGTATATAATATTATGCACAATTTTTTTTTATAAGCATATTAAGTTCTTACTTTGACAAAATTCATCAAAATCTAGAATGATTTTAGTTATTTTGTTGTAATTTAAAATATCATTCATGGGAATTTGAAACTTTTATAGTACATATTGTATATTATTACATTTTATTGATATTGGTACTTATGTTGAATCATTTCCTTTTCTTACTAAGTTCTTCATTCTCTGAATCAATTTTCTCTTGCAAGTCGGTGTGTTTTGAACACGGGTTTTTCTTGGTGCCATATTTATATTAATGTAATTGTAGGTAGATGCAAAAAATAAAATTCGATCACATACACGTAATTTATCGAACACTCAGTGGCGTGGCGTGCATATAAGCAGTGTAAGCGTTTTTTACACTTTCAGTTGTAAAACGTAATGGGTATATTTTAAAATTTAAAAATTAAAATTCTATTAAAGCCGATCGAGTTATAATAATTTAAAATTATAAATTACATTTTGTTGTTACTTGATGGTTGTTCAATGTACGAAATCTAATGTGTATCCATATCACTTATCGCTATCGCCCCGGGTCGGGTATAATATAACAGGCACGGGTCGTCAGTTAGTTATCCAACGTTGCGTCGGTGACAATACCTTCGAACTGCGAGTCACCTCATTAGTGACAAAAGTAACTCGATATTCATGTGTTAATTTTTTATTATTATCAATATTATATTAAATTATTATTATCAACAAATTATTCAGTCCACTAGTTTATTTTTGTATTACTTATTCAAATTGAAACTGAGCCGAGACATTGGTCCAGACGAACCGGATCGTAACGTACGCGTCAATATTATTACACGCATTGTAGTATTTTGAATTACAAGTTCACGGAAGAAAATCAGTAAAAAGCTTCAAGAAAGAAGACAGCATCAGGTGAGTGAGTCTCAATTTAACACGTATTTAAATAAAAAGTGGCCTCCTATAAGTCTTATTAATTCGTCCTTGACTCAAAATAAATCCGTTAGGGAAATTGTGCTTAAGCCTATATCCAAAATATTATATCATCATAACATTATAAACGGTAGATAGTGGGTAGAGGTCGATCACAATGGCTGGCGATAATAATGAATTAGCAGCATTCGTTCTACGTCGCGGTCAGATCAAAGGGCAGCTTACACGATTTCAAACATTTCTGGATGACCCAAAGTCCAATGTTACCACGCAATTAAGATTACGGGCTGAAAAGATACGTGAAGCATGGAGCGAATTTGATGCCATACAAAATAATATAGAGATATTAGACGTTAGTAATGAACAGGTACAATATAGGTCCACATTCGAAGACTTATACTATGATTTAATGTCAAAAGTCGACGATAGATTAGAGGGAAATAACGCACTCGCGCAAAGTCGACAATTAATACAGGCTGATCAAAGTGAAAAAACAAGTCACAAATTTTCATTTGTAAAACTTCAGCCACTCGAAATTCCTACATTCACGGGAAAATTTGATGATTGGGTAACGTTTCATGACATATACTGTGCAATGATACATACAAATAATTGTTTATCAGATATCCAAAAATTTTATTATTTAAGAAATGCGTTAGAAGGCGAAGCAACTTCATTAATAAAAAATTTGGAAACTTCCTCATCGAACTATGAAATAGCGTGGAAAATAATTACCACAAGATACAACAATACACGTATGTTAATACAAACGCATACAAAACGTATTTTTGATCTAGAGCCAATCAATAAAGAATCGGCAATCAAATTAAAACAATTAACTGATTCGCTAAACGGACATATGCAAGCATTAAATGCACTAAACCATGACCCATACAATTGTATTGTTATTACATGTTATTTACACGAAACTTGATACGAACACTATCAAGCAATGGGAAATGGAAACGTCCAGAGAAGAACTACCTAGTGTACAAATGTTAATGGAGTTCTTAGGTAAAAGGAATCAGATGTTAGAGTCAGTCGAAAATGCTAGATTACTAACAGTCAAGCAAAACGAATCTAATTATTCACTATCAAAAATCTCAAAATTTGGAACATCAAAGAAGGGTGCGTCAACATTTTTATCTACATACAAAATGAAATGTTACATGTGTCAACAACCACACCCAATCTACAAATGTACCATATTTCTGGCACTTGACATAACGTCCAGAATAAAGAAGGTCGATGAATTAAAATTATGCAAAAATTGTTTAAAAAAAACAGATCATCATGTAAATTTATGTCCATCGAAAAAATGTACAAAATGTCAACAGTTGCATAATTCACTTTTACATAAGGAAACAAGTTCAGTTGACGAAAATGTCAATATATTATCAAACAATGCATTAGTATCTGCGCATACAGCAAAAGTCAACATTGATTACGAAGTGTTGTTAGCTACGGCAATAATTAAAATATCGAGTCCCGCTGGCAGGCATTCGCATGGGCGAGTGTTGTTAGACAGCGGATCACAGAGCAATTTTATAACAAACAATTTGGTAAACAAACTCGGACTTCAGCGGGAAAAAGTAAACATTCCAATATGCGGTATCAGTGAAACGAATAATACAATAAAATATAAGGTAACAGCTGTAATCAACTCATTAAATAACTCGTACTCTACGATAATTGACCTATTAGTGTTATCGAAGATAACGGGCCCATTACCACGAACGTCTATACGCAGTGTGAACGTTCCGAGTGATATATATATGGCAGACCCGTCGTTTAATTATCCAGGTAATATTGATATACTTATCGGCGGAGACACTTATTGGGACATAATGTGCGCTGATAAAGTAAAAATCAATGATGGACCATATTTACAAAAAACGTTGTTCGGATGGGTAGCAGTAGGTAAAACAACGAATAATTTAAGTATGACAAGACCAAACACATGCTTGTTAGCAACTCGGAATCAATATAAAATATTAGAAGGTAAAATCGAAGCGTTCTGGAAAATGGAAGAGGTGTCGTTAAAACGTAATTTTACTGACGAAGAAAATACATGCTCCAAACATTTTATTGAGAACGTCACGAGAAATAAAGACGGTAGATTTGTGGTGAGGTTACCATTCAAGGACAATTATCGGCAGTTAGGTAACTCATATGCATCAGCATTACGAAGATTCTTATCATTAGAAAAACGATTACGCAATAATACCGAGCTATATACGAAATATAAAATGTTTATGCTAGAATATGAAAACCTTAAACACATGGAGTGCGTATGCGACGCAGGCGGTGATAAACAGGTAATCGATGACAATAATTGCTTTTATCTACCACACTCGTATGTGATAAATGACCGCAGTAGAACAACAAAGCTTCGTGTTGTTTTCGACGGGTCAGCAAAAACAAGTACCGGCATATCATTAAATGATACATTAATGAATGGTCCGAAAATACAGCCTGATTTGTTAGAAATCGTCATTCGGTTTAGAACACATAGATATGCGTTCTCGGTCGATATAACAAAAATGTATCGACAGGTATTAATACACAAAGAAGATCGCGATTATCAACGCATATTGTGGAGATCTGATCAAAATGATGAAATAAAAATTTATAAGTTGTGTACTGTAACATACGGTTTAGCACCTGCAGGATTTTTGGCAGTAAGTTGTGTTAACCGCGTTGCTGAGGACGCCGTCAACGTAAAATTAAAAGAAATTATAAAAAACGATTTCTGTGTAGACGATTGTCTTACCGGAGCCGATACGTTAACGGAAGCAATACAATTACGTAATGAACTGATTTCAATTATGCATAAGGCAGGATTTGAATTATCTAAATGGACAGCAAATCATAAAAACCTAATCCCGGACACAAATGAAAACGAAGCATCGTCAGTATCAATGGATAAGGAAAGTGTGAAGACCTTGGGTTTGTATTGGGAACCAAACAGTGATTATTACACTTACGTTGTTCAACCACCGAAAATAAACATTGAGGTAACCAAAAGAGATATTATTGCTGGACTAACAACATTATTCGACCCATTAGGTCTAGTAGGTCCAGTAATACTAGTGGGCAAAATATTATTACAAGACTTATGGCGTGAGAAAATTGAATGGGATAGTCAAATTCCACCACACATGCAATCGGTGTGGAACGGGTATATCGATTGTTTAAATGAATTAAATACTTTTAATATACCACGTTGGCTTGGATCCGATAATGATAAACAAATTGAAATACACGGGTTCGCAGATGCGTCCATGAAGGCGTATGGCGCCTGTATATACATGCGTAGTCAGATAAGGACGGTAATATTACATGTCAATTAGTGTGTGCCAAATCTCGTATTACGCCAATAATGGTAATTTCTATTCCTAGATTAGAGCTATGCGCGGCGCTACTTTTATCACGTCTAATGTCCACAGTTATACCAGCACTTAATATAAGTGTGTCAAAAAGATATTTTTGGACAGATTCCACTGTCACCTTAGCTTGGTTAGCTGCAGACTCAGGTAGGTGGAAAACATTCATTGCGAATCGTGTCAGTGAAATCCAAACATTAACTAATAGTTTGGAGTGGGGACATGTAAAATCGAACGACAATCCAGCTGATGTATTGTCACGAGGGTGTACGCCGAACGAATTAAAAAACAATACGCTTTGGTGGCATGGTCCGGTATGGTTAAAAAATAATGAATTTAAACATTCAACAGCATATATAGAAAGTTCCGCACATATAAATGATATCAAAAATGAAGAAAAGATTACGCCTATTATAGTGTGTACTACAAAGGTGGGCGCGTCGTTTGACATTGATAAGTACTCGACGCTGAACAAATTATCGCACGTCGTTGCGTATTTATTACGATACAAAAACAACTCATTATCAAAACGTAATAATATTCCGCGAATTACCGGCCCGCTTAATACAGACGAGATATTAACTGCAATAAAATCAATAATTAAACTATTACAGGGCACATATTTTTCCTCGGAAATTAAAGATTTAAAAAGCAAAAACTATGTGTCATTGAGTAGTAATATATATAAATTAAACCCGTTCATAGACGATGATGGAATCGTACGCGTGGGCGGTAGACTAACCAACGCGACACTTATTGATACAGATCAACGATTTCCAGTTATTATACCTAAAGAGACAAACTTTTCGAAATTAATTATGTTACGCGAACACGAAAGGTTAATGCACGCTGGTCCTCATGCTACACTTGCAACGGTGCGATTAAAATATTGGCCACTCAATGGGCGGAGATGTGCGCGAAAAGTCGTATATCAATGCGTAAAATGTTTTAGGGCACGACCGAAAAATGTGTCACCTTTAATGGGTAATTTACCCAAATTTCGAGTCGATCGGGCGAGTAGATGTTTCGAGAATTGTGGAGTAGATTACGCAGGACCGTTTCTATTGAAATGCAGTAATCGACGAAATGCCGCAGCTCAAAAGGCATATATATGCGTGTTCGTATGTTTCGCGACGAAGGCTTTACATTTAGAACTAGTGTGTGATTTAAGCACAGATGCATTTATCGCTGCTTTAAAAAGATTCATATCCCGCCGAGGTTTATGTAAAAATATATATTCCGATAACGCCACTTGCTTCGTAGGTGCGAACAATAAATTTAACGAATTAAAACAATTAATGTCGGTGGACGACCACAAAATACGGATTAATCAATTTATGACCAATAATGAAATGACATGGCATTTCATTCCTCCACGGGCCCCTCATTTCGGCGGACTGTGGGAGGCGGCGGTTCACAGCATTAAAAAACATTTAAATTGCAGTATAGGATCCGTAAAAATGACCTACGATGAGTTTTATACGCTAATAGTACAGATTGAAGCGTGTCTAAATTCACGACCACTTACCCCGTTATCTACTGATCCTTTTGATTTATCCGTCCTTACTCCTGGCCATTTTTTAATAGGAGACTCACTCTCAGCGTTGCCGGAACCAGAAATAAATAACTTAACCAATAATTTGTTGTCACGGTGGCAAAAGGTACAACACATTACGCATCAAATTTGGAGACGTTGGAGCTTAGAGTATCTAAGTCAACTCCAAGAACGTTCCAAATGGAATAAGCCAGATAATTCCGTTTTAAAAATTGGTTCCATGGTTTTGATAAAAGACCAAAATTTGCCCCCGTTACAATGGCACCTGGGACGCGTTAGCGAAGTATTTCCGGGCAGTGACGGCGTCGTACGAGTCGCAACGGTCAATACTCCAAGTGGGCCGAGGAAGAGAGCGGTGAGGCTATTATGCCTATTGCCAATACAAGATAACGATGAATCAAGTCAAAAAAAAAATAAAATGTTGTAACAAAAAAAAAAAAAATGTATTATTAGGGTATTTTTCAATTAATTATTGTAATTTGTATTTATATTATGTTGAATTAACGAATTATTTATTATGTAAATTTATATTATTTTCTACAACATTTTTGATTGTGGGCTAATTTTACTAGTCATTAATTTAATGTTTTGTTCAGCTTGCGTTTTATTCTAATTGGCGGCCATGTCCATGATTATTTTTATATTATGTTAA